CTTATGCAACAGAACCTCCCTCCGTCCAGAATCCTGGCAGCGGACAGCCAGGGAGTGTCCCTTCAAAGTTCCCGGATGGTGGAACTAACAGGCTTCAGATGAAACCCATTTGCTGGTCTGCAGAATGCCTGGGACTTAAGTCCAAACTGTTTGCAACAGACAATCTCATCATAAAATCCACTCGCGGCGCTCAAGGCCATTGTAAAAGCCCAGCGAACGCTCCACTTGGCTGCCTGGCCAGAGATCCGATTTTATGGCGGGTGCAAGGGATGAGGAAGCAGCTGTCACCCCGAAACCTGAAAGTGGCAGGACTGGTTTGCCGAGGACCAGAACAGCTGCCCTCTTCAAACCCAGCCTCGGTTCCCTGGGACTTTGCCCAGAGAAAGCCTCTTGCCATTCTGGATGGACAAAACAGCCCGGCCGGGCCTTTATAGACTCGGTCTCAGCTTCACCAGGCCCCGGGGCGATAACCAATTACAGAGGTGTCAGGAATGCGGGGGAGAAGAGCCAGCGAACAGCTTCATCTTTCCCCCAAAACAAAGCCCCTCTTTTTCTAAAAGCAAGAAGAGTGAAAGAAACCTGGTGCTGAAAGAAAGATGAACGGTCCCGGGCGGGGCGAGTCCAGGCTGCACCCAAAAGCAACAGAAGACAGCATGGGCCCGTTCCCCAGTCAAGGACGAAGTCAAACCGGGGCTATTTCATAAAAGACAGCTGGGGGGACTTTCTAGGAAAATGACTCTTTGCAATGCGGGTGAAGTGGGCGGGGGGCAGGGGGTGGCATTGGGGGCGAGAGAAAACCCTCGTCTACGAAATAAGGTCAAGGCCACTGAGCCGTGGCCTCAGTAACTGTTGGCCCTCCAAGTTTTGTTTTTCTAGAAAGAAACAAATCGCAGCCAGAGCTGACGTGAGGGGTTGCAGGTTTCTTCATACAAACGTTCTGGTGGTGGCCTAGCACCTGTGGCACTGGCCACGGCCGCCGCCTTGCACACGTGGCCTTCAGCCACCCGGCTGCGGGGTCAGACGGGAGCAACATCTCCGGCCCGCTCGCTCGTAGCTGGTCACCCTGGGCCAGCAGGGGCAGGAGAGGAGAAGAGCCCTTAAGAAACGGCTGGGGCCCTCCCTGGTGGCGCAGCGGGTTAAAGCACAGCACTGAGAAGCTAAAGCCGCTTCCGCATGAGTTCGATCCCCGCCTGCCCCGGAGGAGACCACATGGCGCAGCAGACCTCTCCTGACCCGCCCGCTGCTCCCCTCAGCAGTGTACTTCGTCCATCTGCCTGTTCTGCCCCCCCACTCTGTCTCTGGTGAATCCTCTCACCCTCCACATCTCTGGCCTGTACCCCAGTTCTGTACGAATAAATAATAAAAAAAAAGAAACAGCTGGGCTCAGCCTCCTGCACCAGTCTCCCGCTCCTTCTCCGGAGAGGCACTTGTCAGCGAGGCGGGCGGCTGTGCCCGGCCGCGGGGCTCATACCGCACAGCTGGCTCGGGACACTGAAAAGCCGGGGCTCGGCCAGTGACGGCGGCCACCGGTGACACCAAATGCTGTCTCCCTCGGTCCCCTTTATTGGATCCTGTCTCCTCCGTGTGGGTCAGATGCTGCCCTGGAATGCAGGCTGCGTGGACAGCAAGTCTGAGAGTGGACTTTCTTGTGGTTTGGTAGCTTTTGACCTCAAAATGCCAGCGCACATTCCTCAGGGAACATCTGCTTTGCAGAATTTCACAAAGATGGCTGCACGCAGCTGTGTCCGCGGCCGCTGGGAGGCGGCTGCTCCCACGTACACAAGCCAGCAGCACAGCACCCAGCGCGCCGCCGAACGCCCCCGGAGGGGCGCCACTAGACGCCGGAGGTGGCAGCAGGGCATCAGGAGGGCAACCCAGGGCCGCCGAGCCGGCCGCCGCGAGGCTCACGCCCTGGGAGGACAGGCCCGGCACCTGCACCGCAGTCATCCTCAAACGGGCTCTTGCGAATTCTGTGCGCTCGGCTAGGCGAGCCCAGTTTCCTGGACTTTGGAATGTTCTAGCGAGGCTCTACTATCCTCTGCTTAACAAGCAGCAGCCTAGGAAGGTGGTAAGAACTCAGGCTGAGGCCTGCCTGGCGCAGCGGGTTAAGGCGCAGCACTGCAAGCTGGCAGCAGCCGCCCCGTGCGAGTCTGATCCCCGCCCGGAGCTGACCCACAGGGCGCGGCAGCTGACCTCTCCTGACCCGCCGCTGCTCCCCTCCGCAGTGTGCTTCATTGATCTGCCTGTTGTGCTCCCCACTCTGTGTCTGGTGAGTCCTCTTGCAGCCCCTGCACCCCTGCACCCCAGTTCTGTGTGCATAAATAAATACATCTTTTAAAAAAAGAGCGCAGGCTCAGAGCCAACCTCGGGGCCTTCTTCGAGCCCAGCCCACCCCGACTGCGGCCGTGTCTGCAGCAGCGGCAGTGGCAGGAGCAGCAGGAGCCAGACTGCAGCGATGACGGCCGCGGCGGCGGGAGCGGCGGCGGCAGCAGCAGCAGCAGCAGCAGCAGCAGCAGCAGCGACGACAGCACAAGCGATAACAGCAGAAGCGGCAGCCATGGCGGCACAGTGACAGAGCTGCCTCTGGGCTGCCGTGGCCAGAAAGCTGCCGGGTGACTGAGAAACGACACTTTGCGCCGCTCGTGGGCTCTGAAGTCCACTTCAGCTTCTGGCCACTCCTTATGCCACCTCCTCAGTGCAGCCACCGCAGCAGGACCGGGAGCCCTCTCCAGGTCTTCTAAAGGGCGCTTCCCCCATCCCCGTGGGCTCACAACCGGGGACCCCAGCACCACCGTGTGGGCACCAGGCCTCACCTGAGAATGCCGCCACCGGCTGGCCACGGAGCTGGCCCTCCCAGGAGGCCTAGAATGACACCCAGGTGGGGCTCTCCGGGTCTCCGGGGTCTCGGCTGCTCGGCCGGGCAGCCGTTTGCATGGTTCCCGTCATAACAGAATCCGAGCGTCACCTGCAGTTGGTACCAACCCCCAGCCCCAGGAAAGCCACCCAGAGGCCCCACCGTGGGGCCAGCACGGAACTGGGAAGGTGGGCCACACTCGGCGGTCCCGCCCGCTGAGGGCCCCCAAGGGGCTCTTCACCACAGCGCGGGGCACCCACCCATGGCCCCAGTGAAAAGGCTGCTGAATGAAGCCCTGCGCGTCCCAAAGTGCACGCATCCTGGTTCCATGTCCCGGGGCACGGCCTGTGTCTCTCACACCAGCACATGGGGCTTCTGGGCAAGAGCCTTTGCAAAAGGCACCCCTGAACCCCTGCCAGGGGTGGCACAGCTCAGGCCACTGGGCCGTGGTCCCCAGGGCTGCTCAGGACACCCAGGGGACCACCCCCTCATGCTGGTGAACACCCCAAGGCGGTTTGGGGAGGGAGGGAGCCCCGGGCCTGCAGCCTGGGTGGATGTGAATGGGCCCCGCTCCCAGGGCAAGAATTTTCCTATTAAACAGGTGTCTTAAAGGTGCATCTCCTGCCCTGAGACTAAAGCAACACAGACAGAAGCGGGAGAGCCACCCGCCCCACTCAGGCGCTCACTTATTTATGAAGCGCCCCGACCCGATGCACCCCAGACGCACACGTGGAGGGGTCCGGTTACAGCCACGTCCCATTTATCTGGTGGTGAAGTTCCACCTGATGCCTTCAAATGAAAGCACCAGAAGATGGTCTGGCCCGCTGGGGGTCAGTTGCACAAGGATTCCACACGGGTCTCCCCTTTAAATAGCCCAGCACAGTGACCCCGACTCAGCCTCCACTTGAATATTCAGGATGCTCAATCACTAGTTAGCGCAGCAACGCCCCGAAGTCGGGCCCAAAAGGCGTGTGGGGAGATGTGCTGATACCCCGAGAGCTCTGCTTGAAGCGCTGGGGGTCAACGGTTTTACTGGAGGACGAGGGAACCCCTCAAAGTGGAAGGCCGACCGGTGGCCCCGGGAGCACGGAGCTCCCGCATGGCCCTTTCAGTCCCTGGGCTCTCTGATGGCCGCGGGGGCCAGCCTGAGGCTTTTTGTCTCACGTCCTATGCCTTGGCTGGGCTCCTGAGCAAACTTTCCTAAATAATTGAGGTTCAGGGATTATCCAGTGCTACCGGCTGCAGAACCAGGAGGCTGGGCCGTGGCCGGGTGCCAGCCGGAGAGGTTTCCGCTCTCCCAGGGAGAAACTCAAGCTACCTGTTTTCTTTTCTGGGCAGGGGAAGGCGGCCTGCCTGCCTCCTCCCTTCCTTCTGCTGCACCTGGCCGGTCCCAGGTGAGCCCGGCCGACGCCACTGGCCCTTCCTTCCCGCAACCACGCACCAGCACCCCGACCCAGCCACTCCAAGCGGCAGACCCCCCCGCTGGGCCCCCAGCGAGCCGGGCACCTCGAGACTCACACAAAGCCGTCTCTCGCCCTCCCTTGGCCCAGCAGCCCCGTCAGCTGGGCTCCCCACAACGGAAGCCCCCGTGTCTGCCGTCAATGCGCCTCTCTGTTCCCCAGCACACGGGAGCCGGCCTGCAGCCTGCCCACAAGCGCCCATTCATGTTCCTTCGCTGCCGTCTCTGTTCGCTAAGCTCTCGCCTTCCCGTCCTCCCCCTCCCCAAAACACAAAGCAGCTATCAACTGGGATTTTTTTTTCTCTACAGGAATAAAAGGGAATAAAAGCTTTCCTTCCTTTCTGTTTCCTCTCCTTGGTCTAAATTTGGCAGATGGAAAAAGTGGGAGCAGTTAAGCCAACCAGTTCATGACCCAGCAGCCGCCCCGAGGGCCCGAGGTAGCCATCTCCGCTTCTGTGGGGGTGGCTGTAGGGTACCTAAAGCTCCCCCCTCCGGCCCCCACTGACTGGGGATGACCCCTGCCCAGAGCCGGGTGCGGCCTGAAGGGCCATCTCGCTCCACGCTCGGAAATGCAAAAAGGGGGACCCGGGCCCAAGGCAGCGAAGGCACAGACCCAAGCCACACGCGAAGTTCAGGGGGAGCTCTGGGGCACCCCCCTTCCAGCCAAGGAGAAAAAGAGCCTCTCACCGTCATCCAAGTAGGTCTGGTCCAGGTCCTGCTCCTGTTTGACAGTCACTCCCGTGGGCAGTGCTTCCTTTTGGTCACTGACCGGGGGTCCGTTTTTGGCGGCTCTTTGGCTGGTGGCATTCTGCTGCTGGATGACCGTGGGGTAGGACCCGGGGCTCAGCCTCTGGCCCTGGGGGGCGGGGGGCGGGCCGGGCCTGGTGGTGCCGGGTGCGAAGTTCTCGCAGTACATGATGTGCTGGAACTCCTGGTGGCTCCCGCAGCGCAGCTGCGGGCTGGTGGGCGAGTAGTGGATCACCGGCGAGGCCTGCAGCGCGGCCGGGCCCTGGCCCTGAGAGCCCGTGTGCACCAGCACGGAGCGGTGGGTGTCCCCGATGGGCAGGGGCGCAGCCATGAGGGCTGGCTGCTGGTAGCCCAGCGGGCTGGGGCTCAGGCTCTTGCTCCGCTGGTAGAGGACAGCCGCCGGGTTCTGCTGCTGGTAGCGGGCGTCGGGGGACGAGAGCCCCGAGCGGAATTGCTGGCAAGGAGCCATGGTGGCCACAAGGCAGGAGGGGGACTCGGCCACCATCGGGTGCTGTGGGTAGTAAGGCTGGCTGCCCAGGCCCCCGTGGGCGGGGCTGCAGATCAAGGTGGGGTCGTATTCGTCGCTGGGCTCTGTCTTGATGGCTGGGACTGCGAGGAGAGAGGCACAGGGGACACCGTGCTCAGCGAGCTGCGGACGGACTAGCCAGCGGCGGCCTGGGGCGTCCGCAAGGCAGGACCGCCGAAGCGTCGGCCTCTGCGTCTACAGCTTTGAGCCAGAGGCTCCCACGCACCTGGCTTAGGTCAGAAAGCTGAGCCTGGACCTGAGGTCTTTCCAATAAGGGGAAGGAGCCTCCAGGTCTGTCTCGGACTTGGGACACACATGGCCTATTTCTGCAGCCTTTATCATAATCCACCAGTCAATACTATCCACACGAGCTTGGCTGACTGCTCTCCCGTGAGCATTAGCTCCAGGAGGGCAGCGAGCTTTGTCTGTTTTGCTGGCAACTGTTTCTTCCAGCCCAGAACAGTGTCTTGCGCTCAGATGAATACATGGAAAATGGCCCTGGCCCCCCTTTCTGGGACTGTGGTGCTCTGTGAAAATAAGACGCAGGAGCCCCATTTGGCCATCGGGTACTACCTGCTGTGGGGGTCAACTAACAATCCCACTGGATGCAGAGCATAAGCACTTTCTACTCCATCACGAGCAAATCTCAGACAAACACAGGTGTCCCCCGCTTTGCAGCCTCTTGCTAAACAAGCCCGCGTGTCCTCCGCCCTCGTCCACCTCTGAAGCGCTTGTGATGCGCTTACTGAACACCGTGCAAAGTACTTTACATGCAATGGATTTCTGACCTCTTTCAAGAAAGATGCCACTGGACAGATGAGGAGACCGAGGCACAGAGTGGTTGAGTCACCTGCCCGAAGTCCTCACCCGCACCCTGCTGCCTCTCCACACCAGACGCCTCCTGGGAGACCCTTACCTGGGTGGTAGGTAAAGTGCTGAGGCTGGCTTCGTTTTCTCTTCCCATTGATGACGTAAAAGTTCACCTTCACGGATGCACGGATGTGCTTATTCCGATACTCGGGGATCTCCACAAAAAGCATGTTCTGGAAGGGAGGGTTTACCATTAGCACAACTGCAAGAGCATCCAGAGCCCTCCCCAGAGCCTCCGCAGATAGAGCCCATCGCACAGGGGTGGTGACATGTCCCCAGTTCTCTTTGGGGACTTAAACAGACGTGACGTTTCAGCTGCAGCAAAGAGAACGGCCACTCCCTCTACCAGAGTCTATTAAAGAGCCGTCACTTGTTCATCCATTCCATGTTTGCTGAGTGCCCGTTAGGGCCAAAGCACTGGGACTTTGACGAAGGAAGGCGGGGGTTGGGGGGGAGGGACAGGGGGACAGGGACGCATGACGTCATCTCGACGTGCTTACAGGCTGGCTCTTGTCTTTGTCCACCGTGGCTTCCATCTCCCAGATTTGCTGCCCATCTGGAAAAGTAAAATAGGACCGGCCTTGAAGAAGCTGGTTTTGTAAGGCAAAAAACCAGCACTTTATCCTCATCTGGGTTTCTGTGTGCGACCCCGCCAGAGGGTGTGTGTATGTCAGTGTTGTGTCTGCACACACGCCTGCCTGTGTAGCCCAAAGGGCGAGCAGTGAGCCATGGAAATCTGGCAACAAGGAAGCAAGGGAAAACAGAGGTTGCCCATGATCCGCTACTATTACCTTCTTCTCTATCCAAGAAACCCTGTCTTTGAAAACACAAGTTATAGGATGTGCGCCGCACTTCATTATATGCTTTGTTCAACCAACGACAACTTTCAAAATGTCTCAGGCGTGCCAAGACCTCGCCAGGCCCCGCTGCAGTCACTGGCAGGCCCAGGCAAGCCCGCGTGCTTGTGCCCAGAGCGTGGCTCACGGATGCTGTCCTACGCGTCTCGGGCCACGCCCTGGCCTGCAAGTCCTGGGAGGGGTGCACGGGAGGCCCCCCCGCCTTTCTGTCAGCAGACAGCTGGTGTCACACTCTGCAGCCACTCTGCAGTGAGAGGTTTTGCTCACAGTAAAATCCGCATCCCTGGAGCATGGCGCTTGGTCCCCAGTTTGCGGGCAAAGTGCGGCCAAACAAAATGCCCCATTTGCAAATAAGAGAGTTCGACGAGGGCCACTGGTCGGTGTTCAGCTAAAGCAAAATCATTTCCAGGGTGTGCTGTGAACAGGGGCTCTGAGGATGCTACATGGGCTCCCGAGAGAGGGAAGCAGATTCCACACGCTAACAGCTTTGGGGAAACGCCGAGCCGGGGCCAGGTGGCTTGTCGGGCGGGACTTCTCAGCGCCTTTAGTCACCCGTGAGCGGCGTGGCTCGCTAGGTGGCCCAGAGCCTGGCACGCTCCGAAGAGCCAGCCGGCCCCTGTAAAGCACAGCTGTCCGCGTCTCCTGTGACGCAGAGGCGCATCTAAACCTCAGGGCCGCGGCTCTTAAGATGCACTCAGAGAATTCTGGCTTCCAAGCATTAAATGAACTTCTAGGCTTTCCCCAAAACCAACCCAGAAGGCGCGTGCTGCGACCCAGGCTGAGCACAGAGCTGGCGGTGAGCCTGTGGGCTCGGGAACAGGCGCCTGACCTTGCAGTTCTCCTGGGCGTGTTTCTGAAGCGACTTCAAGGCGACATGCGTCGGTGTCAAAAGGGAAGAAGGAAAAGTGGCGAACCCCAGATTCCCACAGGAGGGAACCAGTCACTTCCCCCATGATCTCCCCACAGCTGACCTCGCATCCACGCCCAGGAGACAGCTCATGTCTGAACACCGACAGGTGTCAGCGTCTCCAAAGATGGCCAGGACCTGCCACCAGCCAGCGCTCTGAGGAGGCGAGGAGGGACAGGGAGGGACGCTAGGGGCCAGTGGGCCAGGAGCACCCATCAGGGGTCTGCAGCACATCCTCGGCCTGGCCTTCTCGTGAGCACGCTGCACTTTGGCCAGAAGGGCCACTGCACAGGGACCCCTCAGCGTCCACTCTGCCACCAAGCCCAGGAGCCTCCTCGCGCCACAGCCCTGCTCCAGGGACTTGTGCCCTTTCCCTCCTCAGAATCGGATCCAGGACGCCCTGACGGCCGCCACCAGGCGTGTCCCTCGCCTGTGCGCTGCTGCTATACTCAGGCCTCACCTAGAAGCTCCCCTCTGCCTTTCCACGTCCCCGGGGCACCAGCAGCGCGAACAGCATGAGCAAGACACGTGCCCCAGCCAGACAGCAGCCCCACGGGGCGCCCCGTGCAGTGGGCGGGCGGCGCCCGGGGCTCCCGGAGAGGAGAGGCAGCCAGAGGGGCCCGGGGGGGGGGGGCGAGTCACCCTGGGGCGCCGTGTTCGGACCCCGCGGCACGGCACTGTCACCCTCAGCTCCCAGGCACGTTCTGTGGTCACGGCCAACACCCCTTCAGTGAGTCCCCACGGTGCTCACTACCCTATTCCCGCACACCCCAAACTCTGGAACCAACACATGCAGCTCCAAACCCGCCCTGCAGGGGGCAGGGGTGGGGGGGGCAGACGCTTCACCCCTCTGCCTCCTACCCAAATGGGGGCTAAGGACAGGACCCATCCGGAGGACTAGCGAAGGCAGCGACGTGGCGGAGCACAAGGATGGCCGTCATCGCCATGGCGACAGCATGTGTAAATGGTGCTTTGTCAATTTTTGTCAAGTTACAGTCTGCTGTATGCAAATCTCTGAAAAAAGCATCCTCGACCAGAAAGTAATACACACTCTGATTCCAAGTCTACCTGCAGGTCTGTGGTTTGCAAAACACCCCCAGCCCCTTCCGCCCCTTTGCCATACCCCCAGCATGTGGGCCCGAGGCTCTCCCCAGAAGAACCTGCCACCCCGGCTCCTCGGACCAGTGTGGAATTCCCAGTAATGCTGGCAGGGCTCCCCCAGACCGACGACACTGACCCGCTGTGTGGCCCTTGAGAGCTAGCTCAACCTCTCTGGGCCTTGGGCTTCTCACAGGCAAACGCTAGGTGGGCTGACCTGAGAGCGGAGGCTCATGACTCAAGAACTCAGATTATATGTAAAGGGCATAGCGGGGGCCTGTCCATGGTCTTTTTCATCTGACCCTACGGAAAAGGGCGCCCGCACACCCGGACATCCCAGGAGATGTGGGTTTCAGCCCCACCTCGCTGCTCACGCCTCTCGCTGCGCATGAGTGACACGGCCTGGAAAGCATGTGGCCAGGGCAGGCTGGGCCACGGCCATCCACGCTGGCTGGGCCACGGCCATCCACGCTGGCTGGGCCACGGCCATCCACGCTGGCTGGGCCGCGGCCATCCACGCTGGCTGGGCCGCCCGCCCTGCAGATGCGGGTTCCAGGCGGCCCTCAGAACAAGGGTTTTGTTTTTTGTGTTCTGATTTTCTGACCTGGAACCCTGCCCCTGTTATCTTAAAGAGACTGAGTGTCTCCCAGCCGGGGGGAGAGCACGCTGTCACTTTGCGGGTCTACGAATGTCAGTCCAACTTGGGGAACCTGCTCCCCTGGTTACTCCTCTGGCTCCATCCTCAGGACTGGGACTAGATGACCGAGGCGAATCTCATGTGGTTTCAGAAAGATGGCAGGACTATGGTGGGCAAATTTAATGTGTGTTAAGGAAAAGAGTGTGCATTTGAGTGGGGGGGACAAACTGGATACCCCTAGCCCCCATGCTATTCGGGGTCACTGCAAATGGCAGCTTCTTGAGGCCGTCCTGTCTGCCAGGAGCCTCCGGGCCCCGAGGTTTGCTGTGTGGGCTGCCAGGCACGGCTGCCCACCACGCACCCCGAGGCCCCCACCAGCAGGCCGGCCGGTGTTCCCTGGAGCTTGACCAGGCAGGAGACCCTGCTCCGCCGGCTGGGTGACTGGCCCACCCTGCACGGTCTCCTCTCCCTCCTGCAACCACCCAGCTCTTCCTCAGGCCTCGCCCAGGCCAGTTCCTTCCCATCCCTTAGGCCCGGGAGCTGCCCCCCTTTCTCGGCCCCTCTCCCCCACCCCACCCCCACCTTGCCTGCCCGGGGTTCTCTCCCCCTGCTGGGCTGTGAGCTCCCAGAAGCCTGGCCTGCCGTCTTCCCCACTCCGACCCCCCTCCCACAGCCTCTGCACATAGTAGGTGCTAGGATCTGTGACCCCCTGACCTCGCCCTTGGCTTGGCCACAGCCGGGACTCCGGAAGTGTCCAGCAGCCTCCGCGGCAAAATGACACCCCCGGGTCATCTCGGGGAAGTGACCCAGAAGGAGCCTGGACGCGGCGCAGAGGGACTCAGACCCCAGCTGCTACTTAGCCCAAGCGCTAGAAACCCCAGCCCCTGAGCCAGAACTCAGGGAGCCCCTCCCCAGAACAGGAGACGCCCCAAAGCTCAGTGTGCTCCTACTGCTCTGGGCAGAGATGAAGGGAAGGCGCAGTCTCCTGAGCAGACGTCTGGGCACAGGCCCCTGTCCGGAGCGAGCCGGCAGCCAGCAGGACGACGCTGTCCAAGTCTTACTCAGCGCGGGAGGAAGGGGCCAGCTCCTTGGGCAGAGAGGCGCTGTCTGGGGGGAACGCCACGGGGATGGGGAGTGGGGCCAGCCCCGTTTTCTCTCACCCCTAGGTCGGAGACACATGCCTGGAGAGCCAGGGCGGGTGCGACTGGAGGGCCTGGAGCCTTGGGCCACAGCCACGTGTCAGGAAGCAGCAGGACCGGCGTCTCAGCCTCAGTGAGCAGCGGGGGCTCAGGTCAGCAGGGGAAAAACCTGCGAGCTCCCCGAGGTGGGCAGCACCCCCGGCCCCCCGCCAGGCGCCAGCACATCACTGCCACTGGGCTTGAGGCAAATGGGAAGGAAATCGGGGGTCACTGTGTTAGGCACCTCCGACGTGCCCCAGGGTGGCTCCCAGAATTAGGGGTGACGTCCTTTCGGTCTGCTAATGAGCAGAACGTGTACTCCCCACACAGGCTTAGGAGCTGGGCAGAGGGGAGCAGGACTCCCCGGTGAGACGGCCCATCTGCCCTGGAACTGGGGGGTCTGAGAGGTAACACCCGCCCCCAGCCCCTCGGCCTCCTCCCCAGGCCCTAGGCGGCTTGGCTCTCCCTCCCTGGGAAGCCTGCTCACTGGCCTCCCTCCCCTGGGCCTAAAGGCCATCAAGGTTGCCAGAACAACCTCAGAAATATAAATCAGATCATGGCACTCTGAGAAGCCTCCAGCACGTACTAGTTACTTTTCGACTCACCTCAAGCTTCTCTCCCCTCGCCCAGGGTCCGCGTGCTCTGAGCCCCCCACTCTGCTCCCTCCTTTCTCATATGGCACCCCTGGGGCTGGCTGTCAGCTGCCCCCAGCTCGCCCCCCCACTGGGGCCTTGACACTGAGTGATTCCTGCGGCCTGGGCGACACTCTGCCTACAGTCCATGTGGCCCCACGTTCCCATCTTCAGGGCTTTGCGCAAAGCCACCTCCTCAGGGAAGCCCTCCCTGACCTCACTCCAGGGTTGCCAGATTTAACAAGTA